ATTAAAGAATATTGTTTATTTGTTTGTTGTTTTAAGAATTACTATATTGGAAAAGAAAGGTGTCGATCGTGAGAGTCTCTTGAGTCTTTTCTCTGCTGCTTTCCTTCCTTCCTTCCATATAAACGATGATCTTCTGACTTTCCCATTTCCTGACTTCTCTTTCCGTTCTGCAACCCCAAAGATTATTTTCTCTTGCCTCAAATCACGTTCGTATAGCAACTGTCTCGCCGTAAATCACTTTTCCAGTGTTTCTGGATTTGAAATTTCTGTGATGTGTACGTATATATATAAATAAAATGTCATCCGGATATTGTTATTTTCATCAATAATTTAAACTAGAAAAGCATCATATTACTTTTCGAAGTAATAATTAAAAACGTAAACGCAAAAGTTGTTTAAAAATTTAATTTTGTTTATATAAAGAGTATAATAAATGAAAATAAATAATAAAATGTTTATTTAATACGAAACGCATGAATAATGCCTAAAATTAATTTGTTAGAATTTTTATTTATGATAGAATTTCGTTAGATAGAATTTTCTTTTATACGAATTTTAATTTATTTGAATATATTATTTGGATAGAATTTACATATAACCGATTTTTCATATTAGATAAATTTTTATTTAACCGTAAATTCATTTAACAGAAATTCTATTTGATCGAATTTTCCTTTTGACAGAACTTTCATTTGTTCGAATTAACTTCCATCAAAAACAATTGGACGCCAATTTTTAAAATTAACCAATCAGAAATTACCCAGAAAATAATAATTGGTTATATACACTTTTAAAATTCGCGCCACAAAGGTTTCTGACGGAAGTTAATTTGAATCAATGAAAGTTAACTGTCAAATGGAAATTCTGTTAACCCTTTGTGACACAGTGGTAACCCAGATTACCACCTATTTTATTTACAACTTTTCTTACTGTATTTTAAGTTTTTTAAGTAATATTCATTAATTTTTTTTAAAGTGAATGAGAACATATTATTCAATGAAACGAAAATAAAAGTAACAATATTTACGCATAATTATAAACAATTATAAATAAATAATTGTCAAAAAACTCATTATTTTGGAAAAAAATTCATTACCGAAAATTTAGGTACAAAAGGGAACCGATATTTTGTACACGGAGGTTTTTGGGGTCGCTGATTACGAATCTGAAGTCTGTTTTTAAAAATTCAAAATGGCGGATCCAATATGGCGGACAATTTTTTAAAACTTGCTTGGACTCACTTGAAACTCGTTACTCGGGAGTTTTTGGTGTCGCTGATTACGATTCTGAAGTCAATTTTTAAAAATTCAAAATGGCGGATCTAATATGGCGGCCGACTTTTTCAAAACTTAATGCAATTCGCTTGAAATTTGTTACTCGGGGGTTTTTGGGGTCGCTGATTACGAATTTGAAATCAGTGTTTGAAAATTCAAAATGGCGGACGACTTTTTGAAAATCTAATCCAATTCGTTTGAAACTTGCTAATCGGGGGGTTTTTGGGGTCTTTAATTACGAATCTGAAGTCAGTTTTTGAAAATTTTAAATGGCGGATCCAATATGTCGACCGCAAATTTTAAAAATCCACGAAATTTGCTTAAAACTTGTTACTCGGGGGTTTTCGGGTCGCTGATTACGAATCCAATGTTAGCTTTTTAAAATTCAAAATGTGGATCCAATATGTGCTCATTGTAGTACAAAAGCTGACCAAAAGCGAACGTCCTGGATTTGTAAAACTTGCAACGTTCCACTCTGCCTATTGCCAGCAAGAAATTGTTTCGACGCTTATCACAACTAAAAATGGAATTTTACTTACGATCCGCCATTTCCAATTTTAAAAAACAAACTTGATATTTGTAATCAGCAACTATAACAATCAGCCTTTTTCAAGGCTACCAAATTATCTCGAAAAACCTCGAGTAACAAGTTTGAAGCGAATTGCATTAGATTTTAAAAATCGTACGCCATATTGAATCCGCCATTTTGAATTTTTAAAAACTGACTTTAGATTCGTAATCAGCGACCCCAAAAACCCTTATAGGTGTGATCATCTGTATTTTTGAATGGAATGAAAAATGTGTGCCGCAAAGGGTTAAATAAATTTTCGGTTAAATTTATTATATTATTTATTATATAAATAATATATTTCTATATTATTTTTTATGGAATATAAATAAAAAATGATGTATTATATAATGAATTGAACAGAAATTTGGAAAGAATCATTTAAAGAAGTATAAATCAAAATTAATATATACCCATAAACATATCTTCATTAATTTTCCCACCCTCCTATATACATATATATATATATTGTTTCTTCCAATTCCGCAACCAAACGTTCTTATATTGGAATTATATCAAAAGCGATCGAGTTGGTTATTCATAAGGTTGAATATACATGTAATGAGAAACATACGGAAGGTAATATCTCATAATACGTTGAACATTAATGTACGACGATACTATAATATCCGTTTAGTTTAGTTTAGCGTGCGAGGGTCGCGAAACTCTGGCAGCCCCACTTTCATGGTACGTGGGGTGCATAATTTATAGTCTTTTCCCCCCTTTATATATGTATATATATATATGTCCTTGTGATACATTATACGGAACTAGAAAAGATGTGAAATTCCAAAGGATATCGTCCTGAAACTCACCAAATTGCAACTTCTATTTATATAAAGACACTATACTTTAGTCTCGATTTTCTGTAGAAAATCTAAACTAAATTATTATATATATATATATATATATATATATATGAGGTATTTAATATAAGCAGAAAACGGGGGAAATGTCTCGGATTTTTTTTTCAAAATTTGGTAAATATTTTGATGGTACTGATGCTATAAATGAATGTACAAATTTTGAATTTGAAATTTTTAATATTTTTGCAATTTACAATAAAAAATTTAAGTTTTTTTTTTTTTCTTTGACTTGTTTTCGTATTTTATTCAAAATAAAATTTTCTTTAAAAATAAATTAAATTAAATTAAATTTTTTAAAAATTTGTGCATTAAATGAAAAAAGAAAAATTAAAATGAAAAAAATTCTAACATTATATAGGGTCAAAGAAACATTTATTTGCATTAAATAAAAAAATTTTTTTGAAACGAAGAGAATTTTTTTTTTGTTTCAAAAATATTTTCTTTGAAACAAATAAACATTATTCTTCTTAAAAACCGGTACCTAAGATACCGTGTCTGAAAAAACTGTTTATAAATCAATTTTCACTGTTTTTTTTTAATTTATAATAGAAAAAAGAACGCTGAATACAAATTGGAAGTCAGTTTTTCAAAATTCAAAATGGCGGATTCAATATGGAGGACGAATTTTTCAAATTATTAAATTTATTTCAAACTCGTTACTCAGAGATTATCAAGTAGTATAGTTTTAAATTCTCAAATTTTTCGGTTATATTCACCGCTAGACCTTCAATTTCAAAATTGTATGTCCCCTTTAATATATGTAATTTAAATTTTATGGTTAATTTATGGTTAATTTTATGGTTTATGGTTTGTTTCCTTATCTAATAGTCTAATATTTTATTCATAACCTAACATTTTTTTTACAAGTGACGTTTGTTTTATTATACCTTTAACCAAATTTTGAAGTCATATGCTTCTCTCTTGATCTGGCTCAAATTTTTCAGGTTATGATCACCTCCCGTTCTGCGACCTTGAATTTTTAGGTTATGTTCTTCTCTTAATCTTGATATTTGACCTTGAATTTTGAGGTTATGTTCAAAAATTATTTAAAAACATGCAAAATAAGAAATAAAAATTTTACTAAAATTTTTTTTTTTATAAAATTATTATTGTGATTATTAATAATACGAATTATAATAATTATAATGTAATAATAATAATTTATTATTATACAAGAATCATAGCTTTTAAAAAACCAAAAAATGAAGATTTTTTTAAATAAAAAAATAAAAGATGACCTTAATAACACAAGATATTTTGGAATATATTGATAATATCCCGCAGATATCCTAGGGATGTCCTATGAATATCAAATGGATCTCTTAAGGATATCCAAAAAATCGGCGGTTTGGATATCCTTTGGATATCCACAGGATATCTTCTGGATATCTCTATAGACTTTCATAAATTTCCTCCAGATATCCCATAGATATCGTTAGGATATCCCACAGATATCATCAGGATATCCCATAGATATCGTCAGGATATCCCACAGATATCATCAGGATATCCCATAGATATCGTCAGGATATCCCACAGATATTTTCAGGATATTCTCAGTATATCTTCTGGATGTCAAGAAGATATTCTCAGAATACTGTTTTTAAAGTCATTATTAGACTACGTGTGAGAATATTCTGTGAATTAAATTTTATACAAATAAAATAAAATGCAACTTGTTTTTCGAGAAAGTTGTTTAATTTGAAAAATTATTAACTAATTTTTTTCTCATTCGTGATTCATTCCTTTATTCATATGCTTAATATTGTCAGAAAATAAATTGGCTTTAAACAATATAAATTCTTCCCCGCAAATAACGAATAACTATTAATATTAATTATACATTAAGTGGATGAGTTTATTTAAAAACTTTGAAAAATGCGTTTTAAATCTTCATTTAAAATAAATTAGAAGCTCATAAGATTTTTCTTTTTATTATATTATTATTCATTATATTAGCTTAACAATTTTAACCTTTAAAAATATATGTTGAGATATTAAATATCCCGTGAATATCCTAAGAATATCCCACGGACATCCTGAGGATATCCCATGGATATCCTGCGATATAATATCCAATAGATATTTTGTGTATGTCTTAGGGGATATCCTGTGGATATCCTATGGATGTCCTGTTGATGTCCCACAGACCAGCGGTTTGGATATCCCAAGATATCCTGGGGACCATTCTAGGATATCGTCCATTGATATGGATATCCTAGGGATATCCTTTTGTTATGAGGGGAGTGTTTTTTTGTAAATTAAATTCATAAATATATCAGTCGTAATCGATTTTTATTTTTCATTAGATCGCACATACTAGAATTATATTCATACAGTTCTTTTTACATAGCTTCGTCGAAAAATGATACTTGGATATACATACAAATATATCCAAGAACAAAAAAAGTACCGCTGATATCGTCGCTGCTATTTCAAGGGTTACAATATATTATATATTTATATTATTTTATATATATATAACTATTTATTGATATTGATATTATAATATATATATATATATTTATTTATTTATTTATAAGATATTTCTAACCAATATTATAATGTAATTTCCTGTACAATCATTTTCCATCATTTGATTAATGATGCAATTTTTCTTATTTATATATATACTGAAAACTTAACTCTAAGATGTTTTTTCCTTTTTTTTTTTTTTTTTATTTTGTTTTGGTATTTGCTGTGAATATATTTAACATTATTATTATTAATGTTAAAAATTTAACAATTTAGTATACATTCATCGAATCGCATAAAATTACTGTCTACTATACAAGTATCTACAGGATTTCGCGAAAGATCTTTACAAGCCCATAATACAACGCGCGGTTATGTCGTTTATTATATATATATATATTTATATAATAAATTTCCTGATATATTTCGGTTTATTATTATTATTATAAATAATCTAATAAAGATTAAATTTGCATTACGAGAAATTCATATGAGTTTTTTTTTTTTTGCTTTAGGGGGCAAAATTTATCAAAAAATTTTACACCTGATTTTTCATGAGTTTTCAAACCCAATCATCACAGTCACAGTTAATATAATAATAATATTAATAATAATAATAATAATGATAATACATAATAATAATATTAATAATAATAATAGTAATAATGATAATAATAATAAAAATAATAATAATAATAAATATAATAATAATAATAATAGTAGTAGTAGTAGTCGTACACATCTTTTAATGAAAAATCTGTATATAACAAGGTTTTGGATGATTAGGTATTATCAAAATTTAAAATAAAATTTTAAATAGAAATATTGCATTTTTGAAAATTTTTTCACAGAGTATTTTATATTATATTTTCGAAGACAAATTTCCAAATTGAGAATTTACACTTGATTTTGATTCCCTTATATATAATTAATATCCGTCTGTGTACGGATTATATTATAATTCGGCTTATAGAATTTTTACCCTAAATCAGAGGGAAAAATCGTTTGTTTTTTTATAAATAAGATATTTTTATCTTTTCTGTTTTTTTTTTTAAGGATGCTTAGCCCATTAACATAACCTCAAACTAAAAAGTTGTTTTAAACTACAAAAAGAAAACTATAAATAAAATTAATTTTTTTCCAATTTTGGAAAAATTCAGTTATACAATTTTGAAAATAAATTATTTTGATCAAAAATTTTGTCGTTAAATAATAATTATTTCACTTCTTTTTTTATTTAAGTGAAATCAATTTTAAATATATTTTTAGTTTATGTTAAAAACTACTTGTTTGAGGTTATGTTAGTGGGTCGAATCTCCTTAAATTTAATCTCGATCGAATAACTGGAATAGTGAACCTCAAAAATGTATACTTAAAAACTTGTTTTACTTTAATTTTAAAACTAAAAAAAAAACCACTGTTGTAGAAAACACGATTTTGCATAACATCTGAAAATTCAGTTCAGCAAAATTTTTTTTTTCCTGTCGATATTTAAATTCATATGTGGGTTGTCAAAAAAAGCTATACTTCTGAATACTATTATTTTTTTGCACAAATATATATATATATAGTCAATTTCATTGACTTCGATTTTCGTCTTTGGGAAATGTCAACGATTGTGTTCCAGCGGCAATAGAATTTGATCCCCAATCAAATATTGGTAAATAACCAGTTGTTGTGGAATGTTGCCAATAGCCAGCAAAACCACCACCAGTATAGGCACCAGTACCACCAACTCCAATACCGAGACCAACTCCGATTCCAGTTCCGGGATTTGTTGATGACACTGATGATACCGTTTCCGTTGCTAAATCAAGACGACCGTCTTCTTCCATTTTATGATCCGTCGTGGTGCCTTCCTCATCATAAACAAGATAATGTTGAGGTGACGCCATTGATGATGGCGTTGACGATAAGGCAGGCGATGCGACGGATCGAGGCCTGTGTCACTCATTCTCACGAAGTTGATCCTCATTTTGTGTGGTACCACCACCACCGACTACTTGACTATTACTGTTATTGTTATTACTATTATTGCTATTCGTACTCAATGTATTAGCCGATGATGCAACCACTCGATGCTGGGGGCTGGTAGCCCCCACTTCTCCTCAAACTTGAGCTCTAGCCGTTGTGTTGGCGTGTTCGGGTACTGGTGAATGGGCATTTGTTGTACCACTAGTGAGAGCATATTGACAGGCACTCAAACCACCACCAGACGATGTTCTTGAACTCACTGGACTTATACTGCCAGTATTTGTGGTATTACTAACACCAGTGATGAAATTATTACAATAGCCACTGCTGTGCTCTTTTGCCTTACGTCGTAATGTTGCAATACTAGTTGTATAGGGTTCCGTGGGTGCTGTTGTTCTATGATGAGAATTATAAACTGGCGGTCCATAGGGATGTGATGCAGTAGGTGGTCCATAGGGACAGGTTGCTCCTGTTGCAGCGACGGGAGAACTGGCAACGCCTAAACTTGAACCCATTCCTGGAATTATTGATGTTGCCGCTTGTCCCACAGACATTGACATTCCACTAACGTGACCACCTGCCAATGATGTTGCGGTATTGAAACAATTCACTGGATTCACTTGATGATGATGATGATGTGACGCCGGTGGTACAACGGAACTTAATGTATTCACTGGCCAAGGGAAACTTTTTGTATTCAATGGCGATGGTACCTTGGGCCAATTATTGTAGGGACTATAGTTGTAAAGTGATTCGGGATCGGGAAATGATGGCGGTATGAAACTATTTAATGATCCAGTGCCAAGTGCTTGTCTAAATTCATGCTGCGCCGCTGAGCCCATTACACGTTCGCGTTTCCTGAATTTTGCTCTTCTATTCTTGAACCACACCTGTAACATAAAATAATTTTCTTCGATTAGGAGAGTTTTAGGGTGAAAATATATAAGAGTTAACGATAATTTAATCTACATCTTTGATTGGAAGTGGTTTGGTAAAAAAAAGGTAAGGTGTTTTAATTAATCTATTTGTTCTTCGATTCGGAGTGTTTTAGCTAAAACTATATAAGACATTATAATATAGGATTATGTAAATCTTCGATTCAGAGTATTTTCGACCAAACTATGTAAGGCTTTACAGGCGTTGTAGTTAATACAAATTTGCATCATTTAGGAGTGTTTTAGCTAAAACTATGTAAGGCGTTATGATAAGTAATCAAGATCTTCGATTCAGGGTAGTTTTAGACAAAACTATGTAAAGGTTTATAAGCATTGTAGTTAAACCAATTTTTCTTCGATTCGGAGAGTTTTGGCTAAAATTATATAAGGCATTATTAGAGGATAATCTAAATCATCCATTAGGAGTATTTTGGACGAAACTATGTAAGGCTTTACAGGCGTTGTAGTTAATTCAATTTTTCTTCGATTCGGAGTCTTTGGGCTAAAATTATATAAGGCATTATTAGAAGATAATCTAAATCATCTATTAGGAGTATTTTGGACGAAACTATGTAAGGCTTTACAGGCGTTGTAGTTAATTCAATTTTTCTTCGATTCGGAGTCTTTGGGCTAAAATTATATAAGGCATTATTAGAAGATAATCTAAATCATCTATTAGGAGTATTTTGGACGAAACTATGTAAGGCTTTACAGGCGTTGTAGTTAATTCAATTTTTCTTCCATTCGGAGTCTTTGGGCTAAAATTATATAAGGCATTACTAGAAGGTAATCTAAATCATCTATTAGGAGTATTTTGGACGAAACTATGTAAGGCTTTACAGGCATTGTAGTTAATTTAATTTTTCTTCGATTCGGAGTCTTTGGGCAAAAACTTTGCAAACTGTTATATGATAAGTTAATCAAAATCTTCAATTAGGACTGTTTTTCAACAAATTGGTAGGGCGTTATAGTTAATCTATTTGTTCTTTGATTCGGAGTGTTTTGGCTAAAACTATGGAAGGCGTTATGATATAGGATTATCTAAATCTTCGATTCAGAGTGTTTTCGACGAAACTATGTAAGGCTTTATATAGACGTTGTAGTTAATTCAATTTTTCTTCGATTCGGAGTTTTTGGGCTAAAACTATGTAACGTGTTATGATAAATTAATGTAAGTCTTTGATTAGAAGTGTTTTGGTAAAAATATGCAAGGCGTTGTAGTTAATCTATTTGTTCGTCAATTAGGAGTGATTCATCTAAAACTATATAAGACGTTAATCGAAATCTTCGATTCGGAGTGTTTTGGACGAAATTATTTTAGACTTCATAAGCGTTATAGTTATTCTAATTTTCCTTCGATTCGGAGTGTTTTTAGCTAAAACTATATAAAGCGTTAGACCAAGTTAATATAAATCTTCGATTGGGAGTGTTTTGGGAAAAAGGAAGACTAAAGTAATAAGGTACAAAGTTAATCTAGTTGTTCTTCGATTAGGAGTGTTTTTTTAAAAACTTTGTAAGGCGTTATAATAACCTGACCTAATTTTCCTTCGATTAGGAGTATTTTGGCTGAAAAATTGATAAAATAATTCTAATTAGAAATTTGTGAAGCAGAAGTAATAATAATTGTGATTCGTATAGATAGTTGTCTGTTCATAGTGCCCTCTTTCTTATGTCAGATTTATACGAATCGTCCTAGAAGTATTACTCATGTACGAGGCAAGGCAAAGCAAGGAGAGTTGGCGGAACACCGAGACAAATGGCAAGGAAGCCCCTCGAGCTAGCAGCTCCTATCCTGAAATATGACGGCGTTAATTCAAGGCAGCACTGGCGCTCGATACCAACTCTCTCTCTCTCTCTCTCTCTTGAGCACACGTATACAAGAAGGGTGGTTTCCAACTCCGTCAGCCGTTTCCTCCCTCCGGACAGCCCCGGGTTCACCCTTCAACCTCCAACTACCCGCCTCTTTACTCTCACATACAGAGGCTCTCTCCCTCTATATATATATATAGTCTCACCCCCCAACAATTATACGGGTGGTTGCGCTCAGATATACACGTCGCTCTCGCGTAACTATAAGACAAGGAAAGCGATGGTTTCCTCCGTTAAAGCTAGGTTGGGAAGAAACCATCGAAACCACGGCACACAGGAAGAATGGAAGCTAGAGGAAGAAAGGTGCATTGGGGGAGTTCTTGGCAAGATGGATGAACGTTACGAAAACGCTAAGAGGCGCGACGAGTCATTGAAAGTGGGGTAAAGGACCTAATGAAGAATAATGTCTTTAGGACCTTTATATATACTGATGATACTATATCTTTCTTCCTATTTGTTTTGTTTCTTGAAAAATTTTCATCACAAAATTTCAACATAATTTTTTGTATGCAACTGAAGAATTGCAGAGCATATAAAATCCGTTATATTGCACTTGCTTTATATATATAAAGGTGGGTTGTAAAAAAAAAGTTGATGTCACATCATTTAAAGCTTTACACTACAAACTTTCTCATGAACTACAAATGTAAAGGAGAAATTTTTTTTTTTCTCACAAGTTATGTTGATTGAGTACACCTATATAACGATTTACAATCCTTCGCGGTATACGACTTTGTAACTTGATTACCTACTTTGTTTTGCAAAGAGTGATTGTGTAACTAAAGCAACAACATCGAGGGGGGATATATGGATAAACACAAGGTTGTAAAATCTACAAAAGAAGAGGGACATGATGCAGAGAGAGGGAGATGCCGCCGCTCGAGAATCAATAAACTCCTCTGGTATGGTAGCAGAGAGGAGCTATATCTATATAGAGAGAGTAGGGGATTCGAGTCTCGCACACGCAAGACCGCACCCGTAAACTTTAACGACATCACAAAATCTCTACACCAGGAGACAAGTAATGGCGTTTCGTAGGTCATAAACTTGATGAATGAACTTTCAAAAAAAAAAAAAAAATTTTTGGATCAGCGTAATTTTTTCTTGTAATCTGAAGGAGTAATTTTTGATAATACTAATGCTAGAAATAAAAATATTAATTTTTTTATAACCGAGGAGTAGTGAATTTAATAGAAAATCTCTGCAGTGATAATTAACGAGAGCGTGAGGTGGATGCGATAAATCGAATTCCAATGTTTTCCGACTGCAGTATACAGAATTGGAGTGCCCAAACAATAGTCACGTCAAGGCGAGCAATAAAACCTCATCGAATCACGAACCCTCCCCCTGTTTCTGTTCGGTCACCGTGTAAGCCTCAACTAGGATGGCTCAATCTACGGAAGCTTATAGAACTGTAATGAGAGGGAGAGAGAGAGAGAGACCGCGATCGGGAGTCTCATCAATCACTCAGCCCTTTACTAACTTCCCCGTGTTATTGTCCTAGATCCTAGGAGCGCTATAGATTCCTGATCACAGTTGACCATCCCATCAATTTCCGTGTCAAACGCCGGACAATTGGATAACGATTAATTGACCAAGACGTCGCATCAAATGACATGTTTCTTGAAAACATTCGGGATCAATATACATTTTTGGGGTTTTTGTAAACTGGATTATCTATAAATACCGTGAATTATTATATGTTTTATTTGCGGCTCAGACGACTCATTAATTGCATATATATACATTTCCTGTAGTTCAACAAATGAATTATAAATACCAACAATTGTGTGATACCAACAATTCGATTTCTATAAGATCATAAGGACTTCTAAAATCCGCCGAACGTTCAAAAGATAATTATGGGACTTACATGCTTGTTGATTGAACTATCAAGGATCAGAATTAATTGAAGGAGAACTGGAATTTCAAGTTCTATTAAACACAAAACACGCAGCTTTTTATCTGCTAATGTCTTAAACGAACCTTACGAACCTATTAATGGAGAAACAATTTTAATAGGAAATCAATACACTTCTCTATTGTTGGAGTAATAGAAATAACTGTAGAAGACTATTTATTATTTTTCTTAATCATAGACCCTGAAACAATATAATCACTTCAAATAAACTTAGGAATTATATAGGATCAAAAAACGCAGTAGAACCAGGACTAGTCGCGATCTCCAAACATTAGACTTATTATCTTGAATATACTATATTGGTTTTATCGAAAGTGGAGTTCTAGCAACCCGCGAATAATTTAGAATCTCTAACTGAACCTGGCAGTTGCAACACATTTTAAGTAAATTCTTTACTTTAATTAAAAATTCTGAAAATTCCATAATGAATATCCAATAATTCGGTATACCAATCCGATTTCAGGTCGGTAAACCAGTACTGAATTTCAGTACAGATCCAAAATTATATAGTCTAATACCCCAAAAAAAAGAATACTGGTTGACCAGTACCGATCTAATGTTAGTTTAATGTTAGAAATCAGATACTGGACATGCAACAATAATCCAGTACCAATTCGATGTCGATTTCATGTTGGTACACCAGTATATCTGAAGTTCAGTATCAATTTCATGTCGATATAGAAAGCTCCCAATATGTCGATATTCGATACTGATGATTTCATTTTATTTGTCAATAAATCCAACAGTCAGAGACCAATTACAGGATTCCAAAATAAAGGATTAATTATACAATGGCGATAAGTATAGTTTACAATCACAGATTTATTATTGGTATCAAATTGATACCGTAAATCGGATATTTACATAAATCGGATCAACTTATGCAATGTTTTGATTCGATATAAAGTATCACATTGATGCAAATATTGGGATTATTTTTTAGAATCTATCCTGAAATTAGGATCATTTTTTCATTTTAATTCAGATTAAAATTTAAAACAAAAATAAAATTGTACCTCCCGAACGCAAAAATAAACCAATTAAATCAACTTCAATTAATCCAGATGATAATTTGAGTAAAATTTTAAATTAAAATTGCTGGTACAAATATATTAAAAATAAATTATTTTTGCGTATGTAACAAGTTCAAGGTTGTATAAAATAT